CGCCCAGCCGCCGCGCCCCCACCCCACTCACGCACACCCACCGCCGCCGGTGCCTCCATCTTCCGTCCCCACGTGGAGGAGGAAGGAAACTCCCGCGGGCCGGAGCGCCGCCCCCGTGGTCCGGCGGTGCCGCAGTCCGCGACATCGCCCTCTGGTGATGTGGAGGGGAAGTGTCGCACCGCACTTGGACTCCAGCGATGGGAGTGAGCTCACCGGGTACCTGCCTCCGCAGCCTCCCCCGGACGGGCTGCCGCCTCCTCATTCGGTCCTTCCCAGTGCCTTGCAAGATAGAGACAATTCTTTTGTTTTTTGAGAGCTGGGATTCTTGCCTCAGTTTATGGGCGAGGAAATCGAGGCTCTGAGCGCTAGATTTTCTCCAAGATCGCAGAGATAGGAAATGGGAGTGGCTTACAAAGCCAGAGCCCACTGGGTTGAGGGCAGTTCTGCTTCTTTTTTATTTAAATGGATGAAATCAATTAATAATACTTGATGAGTACAGAAGCCAAAACTTCCTACAGTTTCCAACACTGTACAGCAGTAACAGTAACAATGATAATGACGGCAGTGTGTCAAGAATTGTTCTAAGTGCTTTACACATACAACTCTCTCCTGGTATTATAGGTGAGGAACTAGAGCAGAGAGGGACCACGAGCGCTCTGACTGGCCACCTGAGATCTTCCTCTCTCTCCATCCTGGCGATCTCAAGCTCTGCCAATCCCGCCTCGTTGACCTCTGTTGAATCTGTTCTCTGAGTCACATGCTCCTACAGCAGGCTCTTCACTTGCCTCCCTGTCTCTGCTCTTGCCTCCTCCCGTGTATTCGGTACAGGGCAACCAGGGTGATGTTTCAAACCCAAGCTCTGGTCTGTTACTTTCTGCCCTAAAACCCAACAGACCCAACAGGGGCTCCCATTACAGGCAGGAAAGGATCATTCTTTCCCTCACCCTTGAAAGTTTTATTGAGACATAGTTGACATAGAACACTGTGTACTTTTTGGGGGAGGGTTGGTGGTAATTAGGTTTTATTATTATTCGAGGTTTTTAACAGAGGTTCCAGGGAGGTTCTGGGAATTGAACCAAGGACCTTGTGCTTGCTAGGTAAGCACTCTACCACTGAGCTATACCCTCCCCCAGGCCGAAAAGATCAGACTCCTTATAATGGTCCACTGGGCCCTACTTACTTCTCCTGCCACTCCTCTCTTTAAGATCAAATCCTTCTGGCTTTTTCTTAGTTCTTTCAATGCCTGACCCTGCCTGTATCCCTGCTTTGCACATGCAGTTTTCTGTCTGGAACTGGAATGAACTGAATTGTGCACACACACGCCCAATTCATATGTTGAAGCCCTGATCCCCCAGTGTGACTGTATTTAGAGACAGTCCATAAGGAGGTAATAAGTCTTCGGCTTCTAGCCTCTACAATTGTGAGAAAATAAATTTTTGTTGTTTATGCCACCTAGTCTGTGGTATTTTGTTATGGCAGTTGGAGCTGACTAATACAGGCAGGAATAGTTCCTCATTCTTCAGGTCTTGCTTTAACTATTGAATCATTTAACAAAGGTCTCTGCCAGACATTGTTCTAAGGGCTCTCTCTCTCTATTAAATCATTTAATCACTTACTAAGAGAAATCTTCTCGGAAACAATGTCATGTTTCCTGATTACAAGTTTGCAAAACATCTCAGTATTCATATTTAGAAAGCACAGATCCACGGAATTCTTTCCTCCATCCATTCAACAACTATTACTGAGCATCTACTACATACCACACACTGTGAAAGACACTTGGAATATGGAAGTGAACAAAATAGGGACAAATTCTTACCCTCATGAGCGTTCTCTGCTTCTGTGATCATTCACAGTTTCTGGCACATAGTAAACGCTTCAGAAAAGCCTGCGGAAACAGGCTCACAGACATGGAAAACAAACTATGGTTACCAAAGGGGAAAGGGGGGTGAGGAATAAATCAGGAGTCTGGGATTAACAGATACACACTACTATATATAAAATAGATAAACAACAAGGACCTACTGTATGCATAGGGAATTATATTCAATTTCTTATAATAATATATAATGGAAAAGAACCTGAAAAGAAAAAAAAGTATGTATGTATATGTATAACTGAATCGCTTTGCTGTACACCTGAAGCTAACATTGTAAGTCAACTACATTTCAATAAAAGATTTAAAAAACAAAAATGCTTGTGGAATGGATTACTGAATCAGAATTTGAATCTAGGATCCCTTGGACCTAAAGTCACTTTCTACTAATGGCAGACCCTTTACCATATTATGTCACTGCTACAGAGCGCTGCTCCACAAGGGGCCCAGGGTTTGGGACACCACAAGGGCAGGGAACTCACTAATCCATTCATTCATTCGTTTATTCAATCAACAAACATACATCAAGGCTGGCCCTTGTGTCCAGCAGGGCAGTAGAACTTGTCCAAGGTCACATAGCTGTGTTTTCAAGGTCACATCGCTGTGTTTTCAAGGTCACAGTGCTAAGAGCAGAATCTAGTGTGAGTGATCTCACCTATGCTTCTTTCCTTCAGCGTCTTTCTCAGCTCTGGTCAGGTAAGTTTGAAGCTCTATGGGAAAAGGTGGCAGAATGGTAGCACATGGAGCCAAGCATCAGTAAGATTTCATTCAACAGTCATCGGGCACTGACTCCGCCAGGCTCTGTGCCAGGGAAATCAAGCTGCACGAGATGCTGTCCTTGACCTCTGGGAGGGAGCTCACAGGGCAGGCTCAGAGACACTGAAAGGTGGGAGAATTCTGAATCCAAGTAGGAACAGCCTCATCAACTTGCCTCAGGAACCTTCAGTCAGATGGGGAGGAACAATTCCTGCCCCAGGGGACACCTTCTCTGGTGGCAAATACATAATTTTTTTAATGAAAAAAATTAAATTAAATTAAATTAAATTAAATTATTTTTCCTTATTTGAGGCATAGTTGATTTACAATATTATATAGGTTTCAGGTGTACAACATAATGATTCATGATTTTTAATGAATACATAGTTCATGTCCCGGGAAAACCCCCTTCTGATAAGGGGGACTTCGCTTGTCCCAGTCAGTTGGCGGGTACAGTTCTTGGTCTCAGGGGTTTTCCAGGCTGCTCCAGCTCTTGCTGTGGGAGAAGAATTCGGTCTGGTGGGGCAGGGGTATTCAGAGCTGGTCCTGAGGGAGCTCCCAGTCTGATGGGAGAGGGAGGCTGAATGTATCTACTCCATAGAGACGGGCAGGAACCAGAGAAGACGTGCAGACTGAAACAAACAAATAACTCACTTCCAGTAAACTGACGCAGCAGGTCCAATGGTCTTTCTGAAAAGCCAAGGCCATTGTCAACAAGTGAATGTGGGAGCAGCTGGGGAGTTGTGGACAAGCAGAAGAGGCGAAGGAACTTTCTTTCCTCTTCTTCCCTCCTCCCTCCCGACAGGCATTTCTGGAAGTCTCCAGTTGTTCTAGGACCTGAGCAGCTGCTCTGCAGTCCAAGTCTGACGGCCCCTCAGCTGTCACTCTGTTCCCAAAATAGCAGCGGTGGGGGGATGGGAGAGGGGTTGTTTATCTGGGATGGAGGTGGAGAAGCAGCATTATAGCTGTGCCTAGGGAGGGGGGTGTCAGCTGGGGGATTCCTGTTCCTCTGGATCTTTCTCTCCCTCTTTGGGGCATGAGTGCCTGAGCCCCCAGGACTGGCCCTGAGCGGGGTGCCAGGGTGGAGGTTAGTCAGAACCTCCACGTGGTAATGACTGACCAGTCTGGGGAGGGGGAGGGCCCTGAGTATCGATGACAGACTCCAGGGGCACCTGCCCCTGTGGCTAAATAAGGCCTGGAGCCACTGGCAGGGGCGATAAAGTCTCCTGGGTGGGGGCTGGGAGGGACAGACTGACTCTGGCTGGCTCGAGGTTCACACGGGAGCTCAGAGGAGCGACACCCCCAGGGGGAAAGACCAAGAGCATCGTCCTTGTGAGAAAGTGAGCTGGCCTGGAGTGCTCCTTGGACTGGGGAGGGAGAAGGGGGACCCAGAGGGAATTTTAAGGCCTGTAGTGAGAATTCAGGCCCTTGGTGGGGTGGCTTCACCCGTCCAGCTGGGAGGGTAGGGAGGGAGGCACAGGGACTCTGAGACTGCCCTCCACTCAGGCCCCGCTCAGAGCAAATGTTGCGATGTCCTTCCTTGTAGTGGACTCGCGGGTGCTGGGGGTGGCTCCCCTCCAGGCAGCACCCTCAACTCCCATCCTGGGGGGTGGGGACCCTAGAGCCCCAGACCTCAGGCCACAAGCCCAGGTTGGGTCTGGAGGGAGGGGCTGGCCAGACGGACCTGCTCCTGTCCCGACAGATGACCGAGACGGAAGCCGTGCAGCTGAAGGAGGAAGGGAACCGACATTTCCAGCTGCAGGACTACAAGGCCGCGACCAAGAGCTACAGCCAGGCCCTGAAGCTGACCAAGGATAAGGCCCTGCTGGCCACGCTCTATCGGAACCGGGCAGCCTGTGGCCTGAAAACGGTCTGGGCTGGGGAGGGGCAGGGGGCTGAGGGTGTGGAGGCAGCCCCCTCACCCTGATCCCTGTGTCTGTCACCCAGCCCTCTCACCTGGACCCCTCAGGGTGGAGAGCGGCACCTCCCACTGCTTTCCTGGATCCCCCGCCTGCCCCACTCCTCTGCGAGACAGAAACTCATCCAGATGGGAACCAGCCTAATGGGAACCGGCATTGTGCCGGTGGGGAAGGTGGGGGCTTCTCATATGTTATTTTGTGGCACTTTTAACGACAGCCTGGGAGGCTGCTGCTGCTGCCAGGCCCATATCACAGGCAGAAACTAAAGGCTCAGAGGGCTCCATCACTGGCCCAAGACCTCCAGGTCGTTAGTGGCAGAACTGGCTTCAGTTTGCCTGATGCCAACGCTCACCTGCTTTTCCATGCCCAGTGAGGGGTGCTCCTCTGGCCTCTGACAGTGGCAGCTCCCAGCAAGCCCTCTCTGCACCTCGGGGACCCTCTCTGGCTGTCTCTGCATTGGACCTGCACTGAGTTTCTTCCTTCCCCATCTCTCAGGAGAACTATGTTCAGGCGGCTTCAGATGCTTCGAGAGGTGAGGCCCCTCACTTTGCCCTTGCCCTCCCTACCCCACCCCCC